GTCAGCAGGATGAGGCACTTGCAGGAGGCAGACGCCCAGCTGCTTGTCTGGCACTTTCCGCTGAACCCCGGGCAGCACCCTGCGGGCTGGTACCTGGAAGAGCATTGTTCTGTTCTTCCCCGAGTCCGACGGCTGCACGTGACTGGGAGCGCTCGCGTGTCTCCTTCGCGGCTGTGGTTTTTGGCTACTCTCGGGAACTTTCCTTTGCACTCCGGTGACACTGCTGCACCGGGACCGAAACTCCTGCTGTTCATCGAAGCCAGAATCTTCCAAAATCCGCTCAGGGAAGCACACCCGAGAGCTGGACGGGGCAGGCTGGCTGGCCACGGCAGGGAAGCCAGGGTGGGTGCTGGCGGCGCCGTCCACCTCCTCGGGCAGGCACTCTCCGGGGGACCCAGGCGCCGACGCCTCCAAGACGGCCAGGTCCTCGCTGGGGTCCGCGCTGCGCTGCTCACCCTGGATCTTCAGGCGCTGCTGTTCGTGCAGGCTGAACTTTTCGATGCAGTCATCGATGAGGCTGGACGGGGCCTTCTTGTGGATCACTGTCACCTTTCCGCAGTACAAGACTTCGAACTTCTGAGAGTTGTAAAAGGCGTCCTCATTGTCTTTGCTAGGTTTGGCATCCTCTTTCATGGCCGCTTTAGATACCTGCCTTATGCTGCTGATAACATCAGGAACCTGGAAAGCAATTTTAAATTCTCATTTTAGCTGAATATTTTGTGACAATTTACGTTTACCTAGACCTGGTTATTATTACATGGAATGCATTTTTATCCTAAATGATAAGATACAGAAAGTAGACCTTACATAAGACAGAGCGTAAACTTCAATTATACTCTCATACACCATATGCAGAAATGTAAAATGACACCACCACTCCAGAAAACTACTTGGCAGTTTTTTATTAGTTAAATAAAGACCTGCCTCACGACCCAGCCATTACACTCCTAGAGATTCACCTAGAAGACTGGAAAACACATCCATACAAGGACTTGTACACGAATATTCATAGCAGATTTAGTCACAATACCCCAAAACTGCAAACAACCCAAATATCCATTAACAAGTGGATGGATGAACAAAATGTGGTACATTCATAGGATAAGATACTATTCATTGCTCACGCAGTTTACTGCAACAGCCGTTTAACTGGTTTCCCTTGCCCCTTCAATCTACTCTCAAAACCAAAATGATCCTTTTTAACTCGTCATATTACTTGAGGGAATCAAAATATGCCATCTGAAAATATGCCACTTTGGCATATTAATTATCTTGAGTTAAAGACACTTGAAAAACAGCAGATGCAAGAAGGGCACTCTGACTTTTCTTTTTCTTCCTGAAAGCAGGAGATAAAATTCCCATGTGAAAGGTGCCCTCCCGTACCAGGAGGAAGGAAGACATTCTTATCACCAGAGACAGGGAGTCGAGGTTGAGAGAAACCTGACAAACTAACTAGTTGTTAAACTAACCTTTATCTTCCTAGTCACTTTTCCACACTTAACTGCCCCAACCCAAACCCCTCTGTCATGTGACGTTGTCACAATTTACTACTCTTTGTCCAACCTAGTATGTAAGTGTTTGGTACTAGCTGCTTCTTTGGGTCTTCATTTTTCTTGTACAGGCTCCTATACATATGTAGAAATTACTGAATAAAATTGGTATGCTTTTCTCCTGTTAATCTGTCTCATGTCAGTCCCAGCCAGAGACCCTAAAAGCATAGAGAGTAAATCTTACCTCCCCTACATTACTCACCTGCAAACCCTTGAATAGCTCCCAATTTCATTAAAAGACAAGACCCTTACGGTGTCCTACGGAGCCCTCACCAACTGCAGATGACAGACATACAGATTAAATTTGCACTGTGACTACAAATCCTCCCTATGATCTCCAGATAATCAATCCAGATTTTACTCTTTCTTTTTTTTTTTAAGAGAGGGTATTGCTGTGTGACCCAGGCTGGAGTGTAGTGGCATGATCATAGCTCACTGCAGCCTCAAACTCCTGGGCTCAAGTGATCCTCCTGCCTCAGCACCCAAGTAGCTGGGACTATAGGTACACACCATCACACCAGGCTAATTTTTCTAATTTTTTGTAGAGACAGGGTCTTGCTATGTTGCCCAGTCTGGTCTCGAACACCTGGTCTCAAGCCTCCCAAAGTGCTGGGATTATAGTGAGCCACTGCACCTGGCCCTCAAGCTGGATTTTAATCTTTCCATTCTCACCTCTCTTCCTCTGACTTTATCTCCAACTACTCTCCCATCTCACTCTCACTGTTCTAGCTACACTGGCCTCCTTGCTATTCCTTCAACGTGCCAGACACATTCCTCCCTTGAGGTCTCTGAATCCACACTCTTGCCCTAGATACCTGTATGGCTCACTCCCTTGCCTCATCTGGATCCATGCTCCAATGTCACCTAAGTGTTTCCCACCCTCATGTGCATGCTGCGAGCATGCACACACACATTCACACTCAGCCAGCACTCCTCTAGATTATTCTCTGCTTTATTGCTCTCCATAGTATGTACCCCCTTTAACATTCTGTATAATTTATTTATTATGTGAGCTAGAATGTAAGTTCTAGGAGGGTAGAGGGTAGTGATTTCTCTTTTTTTTTCTTTTTTCCTTGTTGTATCCCCAGAGCCTAGAATAATTCCTGGCACATAGTAGGTTCTCAGTATATGTACTGGTCCCAAAAAAAGCTTCTTTGGTAATTTTTATTTTTGTAAAAAAAGGGAAGATTATCTTGTATTCAAAGGTTGCTTCATATTCAGACATATATGGTATGTCTTTAAATCTTCTAGCACCAATATGAAAACCAGAATTTCTTCTCTTTCACATACAGTAGTTCTTCCTTATCTGAGAGGGATGCATCAGACCCCTAGTGGATGTCTGAAACTGGGGATAGGACCCAAATCCTATGCACACTATGTTTATTCCTATACATGCACACCTATAATAGTTTAATTTATAAATTAAGCACAGTAAGAGATCAACAACTAATAATAAAACAGACTACTCATAACTACATACTGTAATAAAAGTTATGTGAATATGGTTCCCCCCCAAAAAAATATCTTACTGCACTGCAGTCACCCTTCTTCTTGTGATGAAGAAGGAACAGAGTGGGACAGTGCGAGATTTCATCACACTACCCAGAACAGCATGCAATTTAAAACTTATGAATTGTTACTTCTAGAATTTTCCATTTAATGCTTTCAAATCATGGTTGACCACAGGTAACTGAAACTGCAGAGAAGGGGGGGCCACTGTAACTATTTGGGATATACTGCCAAAGCATTCATAGTTTAAAAAATCACAAGAATTTCAGCTTGCTAGACCAAGTATATCCTATGAAAGGATAAAGTCCGCATGCTATGGTTTTAATGACTAGCCCTGAACATTCGACACGTCTCAGGAACAACGTCAGGTGTTTGCGCTAACATGTGACCAGCAACCTTAGGCCTCTGTCATTTTCTTCTTGCCTTAGTGTGTGATTTACCTTACCTGACAAGCCAAAGCTATGGAGAGTGAGCTAGCTGGCATTCAACCCTGGGAAAAGTAAAATGATTCTTAATGGGTTGGGCAAAGCCCTAAGAGAATGATTTCTTTTCTCAGTAACTGTATTCCATTAAAAGCTTTTCATCTGATTTTTAACCCAAGTACTCCTAAATCTCTAAAAGTGTCTCTACAGAGTATAAAATCATAAATATTGTCTGTGGAATTTCTTCTAACCTGTAGATTTTTTACCTCATTACAAATATTTAAATGATTTAGTGCAGCCTGAGAGTTCTAGTCTAAATTCAAACTGCAAATAAAGCAATTCAACCTTAATTGTGTCAAGTTCTCTGTTTGTTTGTCCTTTTTTCTCTACCATTATATTGACAGTTCTTGAGTGAAAAACTTCTTAGTGGCTGAATTTCTACAGTTTCCCAGGATCCTTCCCTATAACCACAGGTAAAGGCTCAACATCTGACTGTACCTCAGTAAATGATCCAATTTATATAAGCAAAGCTTATCAACTTTCATTCTAAACCAAATAGGTAATTTGATCTTCCAATAATTAGAGGTATTAACCTTATATCATAAAACAATTCTAGTACTAGTACCCCATTCATTTTGCCCTTGAGGAAAACTCTAGCTGGCAGAGGTGAAACAACTCTTCCCAAAGGTACTATCTAGATCCAAATTCTGTGAGTTTATTTTTGGATCAATGTCAATATAGGAGAAAGATAATGTACAATCAGGAGACAGAAGATCATCTTTATTATTAAACCAGAAATAGTGTAAGTTGTTGAAATGATTCATTTCAATTAACACACAATAATTACTTCAACAACCAATAAAATGAACAGGGCTTTTCACATGCATCTCATGATATTTAGAAAAAGCACAGTGCCACCTTTAGCTAGTATTTTGTTGTTACACCTTCAGTGACCTCACTAAAACAATTTAGATTCAAGTACTAAGATTCAGACATTAAAGCAATTTCTCCTCTCAACAACAAAAAATTGCCACTAGATTCCTTGAGGTCATGCTGCTGTTTCTCATTAATTATCATAATTACTTAGCACACGCCAAGAAACCCATTGGTATTTTAAGAACTACATTTCACCCGACTTCAAAAGAAAACAAATTCTACAACTACCACACTCTATTGTTTAAAGGCCTAAACAAACACAGGAGAAAAATCTGGATAGTAAAAAGCACTAAGGAAAAATACCTTTGATCAGGAAGCCAGTTGAAAATTGGAGTTGTTCACGAATAGCAATGATTATGCCAAATTGTTGAAGTCTTCAGTATTAGCCCTTAGTTGCACTTAAGAAGTTCTCTTTCTTTCTTAATAAACCAGCAGTAATTTCATTGTATTTGCTAAAGTCCACATTATCACTATGCAGTCAATTATAAAACGTCCCACAAGTAACCGTTATTGCTTCAAAAGTTAAGTATTTCCTGACTCTGCAATCAGGAAATACACAGATTGTTCAGGACAAAAAAGCAAGATCTTTAGCTTTCTTTAAAAAGAACATTTAATTTTGATAACCATTGTCTCTCTTATGCTGTATAAATAATCACAAGTGTCCAATGCTTACTAATTATGAAGATGAGAGAAGATTAATCTATATCATGATGTCTTTTTTCCTCATAGAAGGTTTACTGATAGAACAGATGAACTTCAATAAATATTTAAAAATGGATACAAATATGAATGTGAGAATAACCTTGCAAAACATATTTAAACAAAAAACTGAATCAATTCTTTTACAATTTATATGAGTTCAACTACTTGATTCATTATTAATCTTTTTAATAATTATAGTAGGCACAGCAAGATTTTAGACAAGCGTAAAAAAAATAAAAGTTGAGGGAAAACATTAGGGAACATTTCAGACAAACTGAAACAACTTCATGATGTGAAGGAATAGCAATTTAAACTAGTTTCACTCAAACAGAGACAGTATGGAAAAGAACTATATTTACTTTGGAAGTAAGGTATGCCTTTAGAGGAAGGGCAGATTTCCTTTATAATCCTGCTTTGCTTACAAAATGATAAGATTAGTTTATAGACTGTCCAGGCAACATGGGGAAGATGTCAAAAATATAATGGCATGATATAAATTTCAGCATTTTGAGAAATGACAAATTTGGTCATTTAATGTTATAACTTCTATTTGGCTTTT